AATTTGATACGGTTATTAAAAAACATAGTGGGAAAAGTCAGTAGTAATCTATTTTTGTAGCGTGCACGGTACTGGCTAAGAGTGGTTTTTCATTTTAATTAACCCTTAATTAACCCTTTACGAGTAAGACTGCTTTGAACAACATTATTCTAAAATATTTGTGGAATACGTTTTTTATGTGGTTTAGGTAGGTATGCAAGGCATAAGATTTCGTTTAATTTTTCCTGTCTAGGAAAGATAGGAGAAAAATATATTTGATCTTAATCCTTCTTAAGATTTATATAAATCGCTTTAAAAATTTGTTACAAATGATGTGTATGTATCGAAATAATTATAAAACTAAAAACGTATAATCATCATTATATGGGAGCTGATCACGCTTAAAATATCATGAGACCTTAAAACGAGAACATAAAACTTAAATGTTAAGTTTCATTGAAATTCATTCAGCCGTTTAGACGCAATCATGTCAATAGCATAGGAACAAAAAAAAAATATGTTTTTTTGTAGTAGTCACAATATGATGAGGGGGTCCTAAAACGTGTATTTCCGCTAAAAAAAAATTTCGAAATATTTTTTTCGTTATTGAAATTCACTTATTGTTAGTCGTTGAGGAACAAAAAAAATGTCTTTTTTTCAATAGTCACAATATGATCAGGGGGTCCTAAAACGTGTATTTCCGCTAAAAAAAAACTTCAAAATTTTTTTCATTATGATACTTTATAAATTTCCTTATACCTTACATATAGGTCGGAAAGTAAACATGCTGGGGCAGTCGAGACTTGGAATCGTATGCCACTTATCGCGAGATCGTATTTCAGTTGTTTTGTCTTTTACAAGAGCAAGAAGGAAAGGCTGACACTAGCGTTCTTTATCGATTTCCCGAAGTTGTGCGCAAGCGCCGAGCTCACGTACACGTGGCTCGTGCGGTAGGGTATGCCTGCTATCCCCACCATTCCGTTAGACGCTAAGGAAGTTCGTCGTCACTGTTGTCGATTTCGATGCACTCAATTATGCCCGATCTGGCCACACTGGCTCACACTTTGCCTTCTTTCTCGATTGCCCGAAGTTGAGCGAAGTGCGAGCTCACGTAACATGGCTCGTGCGGTAGGATATGTCGGATGACAGTGCAAATCAGTACAGTTGCATTTGTACAGTTTACGAGACACTATTTTCAGTAATGGGTCAACTTATGCATTACGTGCACCTATTGATAACCAGTGTAACAGCTGATACATACATTTAGTGTTATCAGACGATAATTGCACGTGAAAGAAATAATATAAACGATTAAAATCTAACTTCGATCGTGTAAAAGAAAATCACTTTGTATGTAGCTACGTAACGTGCGTCCGAAATATTAATAATGTACATGTGGTAACCTTTGCACCAGTTACACGATGGCTACGGGAAAACGAAGAAGTGTGCATACGACACTCGGTAATTCCGCGATGTTTGGTTCAGCAGCGGCAAATAATCTAAGGACGAACCGTTTAAATTTTCGTCCAAATTCAACTCAGGAAGACAGAGGCGGAACTCGGCCAACCGCTGCACCAAGTTCTATAGGTCTTATTTTTGTAACGATGTTTTTACATGTTTGCAAAAAATCTCTACTATTTGATACAAGGCTCAAGGTCGCTATATATTGCGGTGCAATATTTGTAGTGTCGCTCATAGCAGACTTTACCACTATGCCAAGAACATATTTTTCGCGTTCTGATAACGCACTTAACCAATATTTTGTAAAGTGGGGATGGGGTTGGCTGTTGACCATAACCGTTCCGTGGGTAGCATTGACTGCTTATACAGTCGGCTGCGGTCGCAGATCGATTTTACTCAAACATCTTGCTAGACTGGGTTTAGCCACAGTCGCATGGCTACTATGGATCAAATTATTTAATTATATTGAAACGAATTATGGTCGATGCCTTAACACGAGAGACATACAACTACAAACGAAAAGAAAGTGTCTTCAGTCTGGTAGATTTTGGAGTAGCATTGATATATCTGGGCACACATTTATTCTTATTTATTCAAGTTTAATTCTGGCAGAAGAAGGTTCTTCCTTGATTGGATGGGAAGGTATAAAAGATTTGATTATGCGAGAAGAACATTCACGAATTACTCCGAACGAGCCCAGTACTGGACCACTTCGTAATCTTTCAAATTTGGACTTGGAGTTCTTGAAGAAGGCGCACAAGGCGTTAACACCTTATCTCCGAGGCCTTTTCGTCGCAATGACATTGCAACAATTACTTTGGGATATTATGTTAATATCTACAATACTCTATTATCATATTATGATAGAAAAGTTTGTGGGAGGTGTAGCTGCTGTTCTAACATGGTATGTTACGTACCAATGGTGGTACAAGTCTGCAAAAAGTTTACTACTTCCTCCAGGTGATGGTTTATTTAAATATAACGAGGTAAAAGTTCATGACAGTAGTTCTATCAGATCAAGACGTAGCACTCTCAATGGTACAAATAGATTTATGGGACTCCCTATTCGCATAAGCCAAGACAATATTGATACAAATGGTATTAATAGGCAATTAGATTCTGATGTAATAGCTACAAGATTATAAAAGTCTTCATTTGTTCAGCTTTCTTTTCACTGGTTGGGTATGTCCAAGTTTTTTGTATTTATAAATTGCTTCCTAATTATACACATATTGACTGTAAATATAAGGTGGTGTCTTGAAAGTAAAACGTTTCCAGAACTTTTTATTCTAAGTTATATAACAATAATTTTACGTTATAATTTACATAGCCTTTAAAGTCATATTGTTTAAAAGGTTAGAAGCTGTCAAACAAGAACACTGATTAATTTTGGAAAAGGTTTATTAAATCTCTGGTTACCGGTCATAGTACATTAGATATGTACCAAGTTCTGGATAAATTATACATATTATTGATGGTATTTTATTTAATCGAAACTGTCACTTCCTTTAAAACAGAATTTTTAATCAAATTATGTAAGTATCATCATTCATTGTAATTAATTTCGATTGTTTTTACAATTTGAATAAACGAAATGTTTATTCTTTTCTACCTCTGTATGGATTGTTGAATTAAATTATAGCTATGTTATTTAATTATAGTAACTTGTGTTACTTTGTTTTGTAATTTTTACTTAATAATAAATGTTATTGTTAACAAAGCGTTTGTCTCTTAAGGGGGTAGGCACGGGTAATGCAGCGCGCTGTAAACCGACACAATTTGGCCCGAAATAGGGGGTTTCGAAATAAGAGATTTTGCCCTTATATGAGCAGCTTTTGGGTCGAATGAGGTCTCATTCGAAAGAGGAAGGTCCAATGCAGTGCGCTCTGGTCAGAATCGAACGAGATTGTGTTCATATTTATTAATATCAACGTCGAAAGTCGAGAAAAAAATGAATGAAATACAGCCACAGAATCGAGGTCTTTTTAGGTTACTAAAAGAGTTGTACGATTCCAATACTGACCAGAGCGCGCTGCATTGGACCTTCCTCTTTCGAATGAGACGTCATCCGACCCAAAAGCTGCTCATATAAGGACAAAATCTCTTATTTCGGAATTGCATTCCCACAAGCGAGTTCCGCCATTACATGGGTAATAGCAGAGCAAGTCACGTGACAAATTTAGTTCAGGCAGTCGCTACGAGATGGCGCCTAATCAAGAGGGCTGTGAAGGTGAAACCATACCAAAGTGAAGCGTTAGCTTCGATACATAGGCCCGTCGCCCCCCACCCCGAGAAAGCAGGATGCTGACAACCTAACCCATACTTCGATTCTGCGGCTGTATTTCGTTCATTTTTTCCTAAACTTTCGACGTTTATGTTAATAAATGTGAACAGAATCTCGTTCGATTTTGACCAGAGCGCACTGCATTGGACCTTCCTCTTTCGAATGAGACCTCATCCGACCGAAAAGCTGCTCATATAAGGACAAAATTTCTTGTTTCGAAAACCCATATTTCGGGCCGAATTGTGTCGGTATACCGCGCGCTGCATTGCTCGTGCCTGCCTATCTCCCTCGGTGTCTTTCAATCATCGATTCATTTTTGCTCATTTATTTATTATTGACAATAAATTCAACATAGACTCTCCCTCGAAGCGGGATCTATGCAGGTGATTCAGTATTGGAATCGTACATCTCTTTCAGTAACCTAAAAAGACCTCGATTCTGTGGCTGTATTTCATTCATTTTTTCCTAAACTTTCGACGTTTATATTAATAAATGTGAACAGAATCTCGTTCGATTTTGACCAGAGCGCACTGCATTGGACCTTCCTCTTTCGAATGAGACTTCATCCGACCGAAAAGCTGCTCATATAAGGACAAAATTTCTTGTTTCGAAAACCCATATTTCGGGCCGAATTGTGTCGGTATACCGCGCGCTGCATTGCTCGTGCCTGCCTATCTCCCTCGGTGTATTTCAATCATCGATTCATTTTTGCTCATTTATTATTGACAATAAATTCAACATAGACTCTCCCACGAAGCGGGATCTATGCAGGTGATTCAGTATTGGAATCGTACATCTCTTTCAGTAACCTAAAAAGACCTCGATTCTGTGGCTGTATTTCATTCATTTTTTCCTAAACTTTCGACGTTTATATTAATAAATGTGAACAGAATCTCGTTCGATTTTGACCAGAGCGCACTGCATTGGACCTTCCTCTTTCGAATGAGACTTCATCCGACCGAAAAGCTGCTCATATAAGGACAAAATTTCTTGTTTCGAAAACCCATATTTCGGGCCGAATTGTGTCGGTATACCGCGCGCTGCATTGCTCGTGCCTGCCTATCTCCCTCGGTGTATTTCAATCATCGATTCATTTTTGCTCATTTATTATTGACAATAAATTCAACATAGACTCTCCCACGAAGCGGGATCTATGCAGGTGATTCAGTATTGGAATCGTACAACTCTTTTAGTAACCTAAAAAGACCTCGATTCTGTGGCTGTATTTCATTCATTTTTTCCTAAACTTTCGACGTTTATATTAATAAATGTGAACAGAATCTCGTTCGATTTTGACCAGAGCGCACTGCATTGGACCTTCCTCTTTCGAATGAAACTTCATCAGACCGAAAAGCTGCTCATATAAGGACAAAATTTCTTGTTTCGAAAACCCATATTTCGGGCCGAATTGTGTCGGTATACCGCGCGCTGCATTGCTCGTGCCTGCCTATCTCCCTCGGTGTATTTCAATCATCGATTCATTTTTGCTCATTTATTATTGACAATAAATTCAACATAGACTCTCCCACGAAGCGGGATCTATGCAGGTGATTCAGTATTGGAATCGTACAACTCTTTAGTAACCTAAAAAGACCTCGATTCTGTGGCTGTATTTCATTCATTTTTTCCTAAACTTTCGACGTTTATATTAATAAATGTGAACAGAATCTCGTTCGATTTTGACCAGAGCGCACTGCATTGGACCTTCCTCTTTCGAATGAGACTTCATCCGACCGAAAAGCTGCTCATATAAGGACAAAATTTCTTGTTTCGAAAACCCATATTTCGGGCCGAATTGTGTCGGTATACCGCGCGCTGCATTGCTCGTGCCTGCCTATCTCCCTCGGTGTATTTCAATCATCGATTCATTTTTGCTCATTTATTATTGACAATAAATTCAACATAGACTCTCCCACGAAGCGGGATCTATGCAGGTGATTCAGTATTGGAATCGTACAACTCTTTTAGTAACCTAAAAAGACCTCGATTCTGTGGCTGTATTTCATTCATTTTTTCCTAAACTTTCGACGTTTATATTAATAAATGTGAACAGAATCTCGTTCGATTTTGACCAGAGCGCACTGCATTGGACCTTCCTCTTTCGAATGAGACCTCATTCAACCGAAAAGCTGCTCATATAAGGACAAAATTTCTTGTTTCGAAAACCCATATTTCGGGCCGAATTGTGTCGGTATACCGCGCGCTGCATTGCTCGTGCCTGCCTATCTCCCTCGGTGTATTTCAATCATCGATTCATTTTTGCTCATTTATTATTGACAATAAATTCAACATAGACTCTCCCACGAAGCGGGATCTATGCAGGTGATTCAGTATTGGAATCGTACAACTCTTTTAGTAACCTAAAAAGACCTCGATTCTGTGGCTGTATTTCATTCATTTTTTCCTAAACTTTCGACGTTTATATTAATAAATGTGAACAGAATCTCGTTCGATTTTGACCAGAGCGCACTGCATTGGACCTTCCTCTTTCGAATGAGACCTCATTCAACCGAAAAGCTGCTCATATAAGGACAAAATTTCTTGTTTCGAAAACCCATATTTCGGGCCGAATTGTGTCGGTATACCGCGCGCTGCATTGCTCGTGCCTGCCTATCTCCCTCGGTGTATTTCAATCATCGATTCATTTTTGCTCATTTATTATTGACAATAAATTCAACATAGACTCTCCCACGAAGCGGGATCTATGCAGGTGATTCAGTATTGGAATCGTACAACTCTTTTAGTAACCTAAAAAGACCTCGATTCTGTGGCTGTATTTCATTCATTTTTTCCTAAACTTTCGACGTTTATATTAATAAATGTGAACAGAATCTCGTTCGATTTTGACCAGAGCGCACTGCATTGGACCTTCCTCTTTCGAATGAGACTTCATCCGACCGAAAAGCTGCTCATATAAGGACAAAATTTCTTGTTTCGAAAACCCATATTTCGGGCCGAATTGTGTCGGTATACCGCGCGCTGCATTGCTCGTGCCTGCCTATCTCCCTCGGTGTATTTCAATCATCGATTCATTTTTGCTCATTTATTATTGACAATAAATTCAACATAGACTCTCCCACGAAGCGGGATCTATGCAGGTGATTCAGTATTGGAATCGTACAACTCTTTTAGTAACCTAAAAAGACCTCGATTCTGTGGCTGTATTTCATTCATTTTTTCCTAAACTTTCGACGTTTATATTAATAAATGTGAACAGAATCTCGTTCGATTTTGACCAGAGCGCACTGCATTGGACCTTCCTCTTTCGAATGAGACTTCATCCGACCGAAAAGCTGCTCATATAAGGACAAAATTTCTTGTTTCGAAAACCCATATTTCGGGCCGAATTGTGTCGGTATACCGCGCGCTGCATTGCTCGTGCCTGCCTATCTCCCTCGGTGTATTTCAATCATCGATTCATTTTTGCTCATTTATTATTGACAATAAATTCAACATAGACTCTCCCACGAAGCGGGATCTATGCAGGTGATTCAGTATTGGAATCGTACAACTCTTTTAGTAACCTAAAAAGACCTCGATTCTGTGGCTGTATTTCATTCATTTTTTCCTAAACTTTCGACGTTTATATTAATAAATGTGAACAGAATCTCGTTCGATTTTGACCAGAGCGCACTGCATTGGACCTTCCTCTTTCGAATGAGACCTCATTCAACCGAAAAGCTGCTCATATAAGGACAAACATTTCTTGTTTCGAAAACCCATATTTCGGGCCGAATTGTGTCGGTATACCGCGCGCTGCATTGCTCGTGCCTGCCTATCTCCCTCGGTGTATTTCAATCATCGATTCATTTTTGCTCATTTATTATTGACAATAAATTCAACATAGACTCTCCCACGAAGCGGGATCTATGCAGGTGATTCAGTATTGGAATCGTACAACTCTTTTAGTAACCTAAAAAGACCTCGATTCTGTGGCTGTATTTCATTCATTTTTTCCTAAACTTTCGACGTTTATATTAATAAATGTGAACAGAATCTCGTTCGATTTTGACCAGAGCGCACTGCATTGGACCTTCCTCTTTCGAATGAGACTTCATCCGACCGAAAAGCTGCTCATATAAGGACAAAATTTCTTGTTTCGAAAACCCATATTTCGGGCCGAATTGTGTCGGTATACCGCGCGCTGCATTGCTCGTGCCTGCCTATCTCCCTCGGTGTATTTCAATCATCGATTCATTTTTGCTCATTTATTATTGACAATAAATTCAACATAGACTCTCCCACGAAGCGGGATCTATGCAGGTGATTCAGTATTGGAATCGTACAACTCTTTTAGTAACCTAAAAAGACCTCGATTCTGTGGCTGTATTTCATTCATTTTTTCCTAAACTTTCGACGTTTATATTAATAAATGTGAACAGAATCTCGTTCGATTTTGACCAGAGCGCACTGCATTGGACCTTCCTCTTTCGAATGAGACCTCATTCAACCGAAAAGCTGCTCATATAAGGACAAAATTTCTTGTTTCGAAAACCCATATTTCGGGCCGAATTGTGTCGGTATACCGCGCGCTGCATTGCTCGTGCCTGCCTATCTCCCTCGGTGTATTTCAATCATCGATTCATTTTTGCTCATTTATTATTGACAATAAATTCAACATAGACTCTCCCACGAAGCGGGATCTATGCAGGTGATTCAGTATTGGAATCGTACAACTCTTTTAGTAACCTAAAAAGACCTCGATTCTGTGGCTGTATTTCATTCATTTTTTCCTAAACTTTCGACGTTTATATTAATAAATGTGAACAGAATCTCGTTCGATTTTGACCAGAGCGCACTGCATTGGACCTTCCTCTTTCGAATGAAACTTCATCAGACCGAAAAGCTGCTCATATAAGGACAAAATTTCTTGTTTCGAAAACCCATATTTCGGGCCGAATTGTGTCGGTATACCGCGCGCTGCATTGCTCGTGCCTGCCTATCTCCCTCGGTGTATTTCAATCATCGATTCATTTTTGCTCATTTATTATTGACAATAAATTCAACATAGACTCTCCCACGAAGCGGGATCTATGCAGGTGATTCAGTATTGGAATCGTACATCTCTTTCAGTAACCTAAAAAGACCTCGATTCTGTGGCTGTATTTCATTCATTTTTTCCTAAACTTTCGACGTTTATATTAATAAATGTGAACAGAATCTCGTTCGATTTTGACCAGAGCGCACTGCATTGGACCTTCCTCTTTCGAATGAGACCTCATTCAACCGAAAAGCTGCTCATATAAGGACAAAATTTCTTGTTTCGAAAACCCATATTTCGGGCCGAATTGTGTCGGTATACCGCGCGCTGCATTGCTCGTGCCTGCCTATCTCCCTCGGTGTATTTCAATCATCGATTCATTTTTGCTCATTTATTATTGACAATAAATTCAACATAGACTCTCCCACGAAGCGGGATCTATGCAGGTGATTCAGTATTGGAATCGTACAACTCTTTTAGTAACCTAAAAAGACCTCGATTCTGTGGCTGTATTTCATTCATTTTTTCCTAAACTTTCGACGTTTATATTAATAAATGTGAACAGAATCTCGTTCGATTTTGATCAGAGCGCACTGCATTGGACCTTCCTCTTTCGAATGAGACCTCATTCGACCCAAAAGCTGCTCATATAAGGGCAAAATCTCTTATTTCGAAACTCCCTATTTTGGGCCAAATTGTGTCGGTTGACAGCGCGCTGCATTACCCGTGCCTATCCCCATAAAACGACGGACCGCCTTCAAAACGTGTAAATCGATAATAAAATTCAGACTCTTGTACAGAGATACTATTGAGGACAGGCCATAAATCAGTTCGCGATATTGCATGAGTAGTGAGGTACTAGTAATCGCTGCGTTATCAATACAGCAGAATTACCACAGATAAGGTATACCTCGTTTGTACTTTCATCTTCACCTTATGGGTTTTCGTCGCCCAATCAGAAGTGCCTGAAAAGCACCGACGGTGCCCTACTCCCCATGCCAGATCACGCGTACGTGAGCTCGTGGAGTTTCGGAAAGTCGACAAAGGCAAACTGACGCATGCCCTCTTTCTCGATTTCCCGAAGCTGCCCGAAGTAATTTCGGACCGTCTCGTGGGACTCAAGGGAGGAAGGCTCACACTTGCCTTTTCGCTCTTGAACAACTGGCATTCGACCTCACGCCAACGGCATACGATTCGAAGTCTCGACTGCCCAGGTATTTTTTACTTTTCGACCTCTGCTGGTCTCTGCTTGCCTCTGCAAGCCTCTGCTGACCCCTGCTGACCACTGCTGACCTCTGCTGACCCCTGCTGACCAGTACTGACCCTTGTTAACAACTTCTGCCATTATATATTGTATTAAAACATTGTATAATGTAAATCTATGGCAATAAATTATATAATTACGAAGAATTCTATGTGTTCTCATCATTTTTTACCTTTCTTTTCCTCTCCAAATCATTACCTTAGTTATAAGACTCCCTGAAACTCCTTGGTTTCCCTGAACCCACTAGGAAGTCCTGAAACACCTCGGAAGTCCTGAAACTCAGAACTCTGCTAAAAATTCAGGATTTCCAAGAATTTTCGGCGCTTCCAAGAAATTCCAGGACTTCCCAGTTGTTTCAGGGCTTTCCAGTTGTTTCAGGGCTTTCCAGCTGTTTCAGGACTTTCCAGCTGGTCCGGGACTTTCAAAGGGGTTCCAAAATTCCAAGGAGTTTCAGGACTTCCCAGTTGTTTCAGGACTTTCCAATTGTTACAGGACTTTCCAATTGTTTCAGGACTTTCCAGCTGGTTCGGGACTTCCAAAGGGGTTCCAAAATTCCAAAAAGTTCCAGGACTTCCCAGTTGTTTCAGGGCTTTCCAGTTGTTTCAGGACTTCCCAGTTGTTTCAGGACATCCCAGTTGTTTCAGTGGTTTTCATTCCATTAATAAATAATAAAATTTCTGTAATTTGGTAACGTTGATAACGTTGCGAATGACACGAAAATGGTAACGGGGCTTAAGGGGGTAGGCACGGGTAATGCAGCGCGCTGTAAACCGACACAATTTGGCCCGAAATAGGGGGTTTCGAAATAAGAGATTTTGCCCTTATATGAGCAGCTTTTGGGTCGAATGAGGTCTCATTCGAAAGAGGAAGGTCCAATGCAGTGCGCTCTGGTCAAAATCGAACGAGAGTCTGTTCACATTTATTAATATAAACGTCGAAAGTCGAGGAAAAAATGAACGAAATACAGCCGCAGAATCGAAGTATGGGTTAGGTTGTCAGCATCATGCTTTCTGGTGGTGGGGGGCGACGGGCCTATATATCGAAGCTAACGCTTCACTTTGGTATGGTTTCACCTTCACAGCCTGTGGCGACAGGTGCGTTTTCTGTTGCGAGATTGAGCTCTACTTTACCGATTAAAGGGTTGAAGTTAGGGTTGTTATAAGAAAAAGTTAATGTTAATGTTTTTTGTTTTTGATCGCTAGGAGACGGTGAGGAGTTTGTTTAAACAGTTATAAGAATAAACTCAGAGTTCTCCAGATATTCAAAAGAGTCGTACGTATGTTCTAATTTATTACGGCTACAAGCCCTCTTGATTAGGCGCCATCTCGTAGCGACTGCCTGAACTAAATTTGTCACGTGACTTGCTCTGCTATTACCCATGTAATGGCGGAACTCGCTTGTGGGAATGCAATTCCGAAATAAGAGATTTTGTCCTTATATGAGCAGCTTTTGGGTCGGATGACGTCTCATTCGAAAGAGGAAGGTCCAATGCAGCGCGCTCTGGTCAGTATTGGAATCGTACAACTCTTTTAGTAACCTAAAAAGACCTCGATTCTGTGGCTGTATTTCATTCATTTTTTTCTCGACTTTCGACGTTGATATTAATAAATGTGAACACAATCTCGTTCGATTCTGACCAGAGCGCACTGCATTGGACCTTCCTCTTTCGAATGAGACCTCATTCGACCCAAAAGCTGCTCATATAAGGGCAAAATCTCTTATTTCGAAACCCCCTATTTCGGGCCAAATTGTGTCGGTTTACAGCGCGCTGCATTACCCGTGCCTACCCCCTTAAGAGCCACAGAGAAATAGGCCGAAAAAATACATTGGGTGAAAAGTCTACTCGTATACCTCGTCTGTGCAATTATAAATCAATACAAGGATGGTAAAGTTATACTGGTTTTACTTATTTGTTCGAGATAAGATATATTTATCAAAATATTAATCTTCACCGACATATCGTAGGTATACAAAGAAGTGTATCTTGTATAGAAAAAGATTAGTATTGATATTTGTGATGGCAATTGCAGAGTGCACGTTATCTACCGGGCAAAAGTCCCTAAACTAGCTGCACACCTGAATGCACGCAATTGCGGCGCAAAATTAGAATAGCACTCGAAATAAATCCATAATACCTAAAAGCGTTTTCTAAATTAATCACCTTACAACGACAAGGTATACACTAAATGATCACGGGAGCCGATAATAGATAGATATAGCGTTCGATAAGGCTGTTATCAGCATCATTTATCGTCGACGTACAGAACGCGCGCGCTTTTTTGCCAAGGCAGGGATTAGCAAAATTTTATAGAAATATATATATCCGATAAAACTAGAGTGTAGATATTTCTTTAAACTTCTATTCGGATTTTTCATTCGGGCAGAAACGTTGCTCGTCTCTGCGCCAAGATCAGCCAGAGAAAAATCGTGTCCAGTGATGCCAGAAAAGCACCGTCGGGTGCACACTCGCTCATGCTAGATACGCGTACGTGAGCTCGTGGAGTTTCGGAAAGACGACAAAGGCAAACTGACGCATACCCTTATTCTCGATTCTCCGAAGCTGCCCGAAGTAATTTCGGACCGCTTCGTGGAAGTCGAGAGAGAAAGGCTCACATTTGCCTTCTCGCTCTTAACAACTGAAATCCGACCTCCCGTCGCAGAGTTTCGTGGGAGATACGTACGAAACAGAAAGTCCCTAGATGACGCAGCGTGAGCAGCGACACCCGGCGGCGGAGCGAATCAGAGCGAACTCGGTCGGGCGTGTGCGGTACGGAGGCGCGCTAAGAAGGGCGCATGCTGGGACGTGTCACGGGCACGCGTGTGTCACGATCGCCCATATATTGCTGTCGCGAGTGGCCAGAAGGCGCCGAGGCGGGGCGCAAGGAGGGCGGCGTACCGAGGCTTGGGTGAGCAGACAGGCGCGTAGGACGGGCCAGCTCACGGTGGCGTTTCCGCAGCGAGCCACGGTATCGTGTCCCATGCTCTCGGCTCGACGCGTGTAGCTCGCGTTCGGAGGGTGGCTTTCTCTGGTCGACGGTCACGCGTCGCGGTGACAGCGAGGAGTGGCCGCAGAGAACGCGAAACGGCGCGATTTAACCGCGTGTACGGGGCAAGTGCGATGAATTATTACGGGGTTTAGTCGATAGGCGTAGCACGAAGGGGGAATCCCGCGTGACGCAGCATCGTCAGGCGGTGAACGTAAAACGTCGGGATAAGAACGGGCTGCTGTGCTGCTGCTGCTCACGGCGGCGGTGGCAGTGCTAGTGGTCGAACCGTGGCGTTGGTGGTTCCTTCCTGTCGCGGTGGTGTGGTGACCGTTGGTAGTCGAGGATCGCATCGTGGTGGTGGTGGTGGTGCTGTCGGAGTAGTGCTGCGCCTCGTTCGACGACGGTGGCGAGGGAAAGAAGGAAAAGTGGTCCTCGGGGTTACGAGGCCAGAGGAGAAAGTGGGTGTTGCCGGAGCGACAACGGGAGGATCGTCCGGGGTCCTCGACGCCAGGACTCGGGGAACGGAGGAATCGGTTTAGGATGCCCGTCGTTCGAGAGCCGCCTGATCCTCGTTGATCGTGTGCCTCGTGAGTACACGGCTGTTCCGCAGGACCATACGACTCTTCCGGTCTCTATTCCCTTCCGTTCCTAGCCTCGTGCAGCGTTCTTGGCATCCCTGGCGCGAATTCGCGCAAGGTACGATGTAATTCGACGGCTGCGGAGGAAATAGAGGTCGGATGCAAATTACGAGCGTGGACGAGGCGGTGCGCGATGGGCACGGTAATTGGGACGAGGGGACGCTGGCTCGGTGGGCGCGGAGGAGAGGATGCGTTGGATAACTTCCCCTTTCGCATCCTCTTCCTCGTTTGCGCCCTCCTCGCGGCCCCGGAGTTTCCTTGTTTCTCGCCTCTCGCGCGTTTTCGTTCTTTTTCCTTTTTTTTCCAACCGCCCCCTCCCCCTCTCTCTTAGCGGGCGCTGGTAAACAGGAGTCACCGGCGCGTGAGCTGCACGAGCGTAGGCAAAACTCTGCTTCGACGGTCGAGTTTTTCGACGTAACGAGGGGCCGGCGGTGTTATCGCGCGCGACGATGACTCCCCCGTATCCTTTCCGTCTCTCTCTCTCGCTCGCTCTGTCCCGGCCCTTCCCACCGTCCGGATAACAGCGGTACACGCGAATACCAGAAATAATACTCGAGGCTCTCTCGGAGACCGGCCGACGAGGGAACATCCCTCCGCCCCGTTCTTCGCCCGGCGGTGCGCACTGGCCTCGATTAGTTCTCGCTTAGAGAGAGAGTTGTGACCGGATTATTCTTTTTTTTTTTCCTTCCCTTTTTTTCTCTCAGGGGTGGCGCGAGGGGGGCCTGGGCGGAAGGGGTGCGCTAACGACGTCACCGTGTCGAGTGAGTCACGGCTTCTAAATTGATCCCCCACCATCGTTGGCTCTTCCTCCTCTCGCTCTCGTGTCCCCCTCGCTTCCTACTCCACCTATTTCTGCTTTTTCTCTCTTCCTTTCACGTTCACCCCCTCCCCTCCTCCTGCTCTCTCTCTCGCACTTTCTATCTCGTTTTCCGTCATCTCCATCAACGAAGCTCGTCGCGTTGATTCAATTCCCGCGATGCAACGTGCCATCCCCGATCCACGGGACCGGGGGAAATATGCTCCTGGACAGGGCAAACGATCGTAGACGAGGTCGTTCCACGGGGCGACTCCGGCTTCCGACTTTACGGAACGGTCGTTCAATAATTTCGCAAGGTTACCAGGCCCGTCGATATCGCCGGTTGCGCTGTTTCGCAAGAATGATCGATCTTCGCGATTCCTGCTTACGGTCACTCGCGTCGGGGATAATGCCATCGACGACGACGCGTACGCTCTCCACGGTGTTATTCGATGCGGCTTCCCGGTTCAGGGACCGAGATAAGATTATGCACGGATGATTGCACCGCGATGCGTACCGTGCGTCGTTATCGAACAGGAAGATTGATCCGTACCGCTTCGAGGGCTTCGACATAAAAACTATTGGAAAAGGTAGGGCTATGGGACGTGTGATTCGAATGAAACGACAATAATTACTAATCGAATGTACTTTTTATTAAATGATATGTAGAAGATAATATCTAAGAGTTCAGTTCTGTTCTCTGAGAGATCTGTTGGAAGACTGTGACTTCACCCGCAGAAGAAAGGCGAGAGTGAAGCGCAGTTCGCCCTAGCGACGAACTCTTATCTTTGTATAATAAACACTCCATATAACAAAACTCCAGACATAAACAATCGTCACTGGAGATGATTTTTGTAACAACGTGAGACGGTTAGGAAATCCAACAAAAACCACGTCCCGAATTTACCGTTTTAGGTACCAAACGGGGGTCGTTGCCCACTTGATACCGGAAATCACGCCAATTATTACAATCGTTTAAATCGGTCATCTTTGGCCGGTGATTCTGTCCATCGTGTCTTTTATCGAACGTAAATTGTAATTAAGAGGAAGAGTTCCGGGTCGTCGACCCCTCGGTAAACTAGAGAGAGTGGAGCAAGTGCCTCACAGTGTCTATTTTAGTGGACAAATTCAATTACAGGATGCTTGGAACGTGTTCCAGCTGGTTAAAAAATACCATGAACGGGAACTGAGACACATTAACGACGGGGCATTTTTATTAAAACTTTCCTATACGATTTTAATGATATAGAATTCGTTCATCACGTGTTTTTGTAATTAATCCCTTGACGTACAATTTAATGTAATTTTTCTGTACTATTTAATTTTGTTTAAATTTGTTCGTAAAAGGAACGACCACGAAAAAGAATTCGAGCAATTCGAGCTCGTCCATTACGTCGTTGCATGTCCATCGTATCCGTTTCTGTATACCGCATATCTGATTTGATAAATTTCTAATTTGTTCGTTAAGTGTGTCGGGGTTTATTATTTCGTATCCTGACCTCATCAACAAAAATTACATTCGAGTAACTTCTATTAAAACACATTCCTCGGGTGCAAAGGGTTGACGTGGAAACAGAGATTTCGTGTTCCGTTCCCAAAGAGCACGCAATGGCGCGAACGCCGGGCGTTCGACTAATTAATTTCAAAGTGGACGTGCACCGACGTTCTTTTGTCGCTAATTCGGCGGAGTTCCCCGTTCCAGGCCGTCGATTTCACGCGTCAAACTCGCCGAGCGATAATAACACGGCGACCCTCGGTTGGTCCCGCGAGAACGCTCGATCTGTCGGCTCAAAAGTTGCTCCACATTCCGGGTGACCTTTTCCAGGGCCGACGCAGAAAATGTCAGGGTGCCTGTCCCGTTTCCCTGCCAGCCGTCGATCCATGCAATTCTCGCCGATCGACGATCTCCCCGCGTCCGATCCGCGGATAGAAACCGCGACGACAAACCGACTCCGTAATGGACAGGGACTGTTCATCCCGACGGGAGACGCTAATAAAGCTCTCCGGGTAAAAAATAAAGAACGCGGACGAAGGGAGGAGACGTTAAGCCCCGATAATGGATTCTTATGTTCGTTCGAGCGTTTCACGACGGTTCCGTGATATTCATTTCGCCATATTGTTAACGAGTTCTAGCGGGTGCTTCCGTCGCGGCAACACGCCCCGCGTGTTCCGGGGCAAGAAACTTTCCATTCCTTAATGAGAAAACAGACTGGCATCCGGGACGAGCCGGAAGAAACGGGGGAGGGTCGCATTAAATGCAACGCCCAAGGATCCTCGTCCGATGGACAATCTCCGATTTTTATGAAACCTCGGTGTACAGATATTGTCGAACGTCGAACGCTTATTTCTTTTTTTTTTCTTTATCGACTCCGTGTCGCGATCGCGAACTATCCTTAAAGCTCCAACAATGTCGCTGCTTAATAAAAGGTACGCGATCGGTTGCCCGATATAGCTACGCCAGTTTCTACCGTTATCGCGGTCACCGCGCACCGGAGCTGTTCTACTCCGTTCGGGGGAAAAACCGAGTACTCGAATATTCGCACCGAGCCAAGTGCTCGAACGATTTCAAGTATCCAGAACGCTTCCGATGCTTCGAATTTGTTACTCGAACCGGCGAGTACTCGACTCGGTTCGACGAACGTTTCACAGCTGGGAACTATTGGCCGTCGAAATTTGTCAAATTAACGGCGAAAATACGATTTAACCTGAAGTTCAACGAGAGAACCAGCTAGAGGGAAAATTTTAATAGGGGATTCTGGGAGATAAAATAAGTCGAAAATCAAAAATACTAATTTGTTGGTTGAGGCTTCGTTAAAAAGTTATTAACGTGTAAAGTTACGTTTGTAGAACAGCAATCAGCGATAGTGTGTCGACAGGGGGAGGTGCACAAATTTTTCGACGAAAATGAAAAGGTTCAAATCGTTCTGGAAAAATTATTTTTACTTGTGGGGGCTCACTACAATCATTTTTGGTGAATACACATATCCTCGAAATCCTATCCACTTTCGAGAAAAAAATTCAGTAGGTGCCCAAATTTTTCGACGAAATTGAAGACTTTCCAATCGTTCTGGAAAAATTATTTTTAGTTGTGCGGGCCCACTACAATCATTTTTGGTGAATAGACATACCTTTGAAATCTTACGCACTTTCGAGAAAAAAATTCGAGTAGGTGGAGAAATTTTTCGGCGAAAAAAAAAATTTCAAATCATTCTGAAAAAATTACTTCCGCTTGGGGGAGTCGATTATAATCATTTTTGGTGAATACACATACCCCCGAAATCCTACGCACTTTCGAGACAAAAATTCCTTACCGGCAATATGTCTGACCAAAACACTTATTCTACTTATCCTACTGAACTTTCGTGCGTATCTTTAAAATATCATAACTTCTGAACGGATCGGAGGATTCTAATAATTCAAAGTGCAAACAACGCGTATTTTAGTGAAGAATATGTAGTAATTCTAAGAACATTCAAAAAGTTTTTTCTTAACCCCATAAATTGGGGAAACCCTACACAAAAGTGGTCCAACCACTGGCGACGTTTTTTCTAAAAACAGTGCCTTTTTTCTCTCTTCTTCAGTTGTCGACTTGTCGGTGAAAGATAAAGGCGACTCCCAGGCTCGACGGTACCGCTGTGTCTATAAATTCTTGTCGAATTTCGTCTCCGCTGTACAAGAGATTTACGAAGGCATCCTTGACGCCTGAAACTTTCGGAAACCGTAAACTAAAGTGTAATATTTCGATCTCGCCAAGGTAGGAGGCCTCCTTTAAGTCAGAGCTTTTCTTTCGCGCACCCTACTTTACATCGATCGTGGAAGTCTCTTCGCGTGTCGATCGCCTCGTCCCGCGACGGTCTCGCGCTCGGATTCTCGGTTCACGGTGTCGCATAAATCCGCGTACTTTGATGCTGAAGGAGGTAGGGGGGGGGGAGGAGGGGGTGGAGATCGTGCTCTTATCCAAATTGAAACCTTAGCACGTAGGCGAACAGCCCGATCGGGTACGGTCATTTTCCACTTCGATCGGGCCGCGTGGTCAGTGAACCGGCGCGTGCACGCGCAGAGAGAAGAAGGGTACACGCGCGTGTGTTGTTCGATTTCGATCGAAGGGCGAGGTCGTCTCTGATGAATCCCGATGAATAATCCAAGGCGACGC